ACCGCTTTTACTTGGTCTGGTTTGACCGGTCTGGGCACTTGATGTCAAACCGTTCGGTTTGAAAATTTTATAAACCGCCATTACGGTTTGGTTTGTGGTTTGAGGGGTTAAACCGCCCAAACCGGACCGCGAACACCCCTAATTGGTTGTATCTGTCTTTTTCTTACGTTTTTATTATACATTTTCAATTATTCTTAGGCCTTGTTTGTTTTAAAAAAAAAACTCTTATCAGCCTCTTATGTCTGAGTCGGTAAGAGGTAGGGCCATTCAGACCGATTGTTTTTTCCAAATTTTCGGAGGCACTTATTTCGTACCGTTCTCTTATTTGGTAAGAGGTAAACCATCCGCTTATTTGCCTCTTATTATTCTCCAGACTCTCAACAGCTGGGGTTTCTCAATTACTCCTCTCTCAATTGATTAACCTTAAAATTGTATAAAAGTATATAAATTCAACATTATAATATTTTGAAGGGTAAAATAGACAATTATACAGATTCAGACATCTATCAGTTTACAAAAACGGTGTTATTGATTCTGTTTTCAGACTTCAGCCCCACCTCTTATCAATCAGAAGTGAAATAAGACTTCAGACTTCAACACCTCTTAAAAAAACAAACAGCACCTAGTCAGCATATCCAGTATACTGTCTATTTGAACGTGCACTACCATCACTAGGTTTCTAGGTCTTACTTTCCATGTACAGCTCCCTTAAAAAGACTTGTATACGGTTCTGAATGTATGCATGAGAAGGTTGCCGCCGGTAAATGAACTTGTTTTTCTATTGTATGTTTGTTCCTTATTGTTAGTCACATTAACCTCTGATGTGGGTATGCCCGTTTGATGTTTGCTGTGTCTGTGGGAGTGCTCTTCAGAGGAAAGCCAGCTGCTGCTGCTGTGGTATATGTCCTAACCTAATTCACTTCTTAATTTGATGGCTTTAATATATGATAAGTTTTATGGTCAAGCATGCAATACTGCAGATCTTTATTCTTTGGTGTTCATGCTTATCAATTAGAAAGATAAAACACTGATAAAGAATCAAAGGGTACTGCTTAATTATCTTTTTTTTTTTTGGTCCATTTTGATATCTCTTTGATCTAAAAGACTAAAGACTTAAATAAATATAGAATTCTTGAGGGTTATGAAGTCCTAGAGCATCAATTTTGTTTTCTGATGGGAGTTTAAAATGATCTCAATAGCTTTTTCCTTTGTTTTCTGAAATTMTAGCATCATGTTGGAGGCCATAACAGCAATATGTCGTCAAGCAATCAAATTTTCTTCTACTTGCTTCATATGGTTAGGCAACATATGTTCCTTCTTATTTTATTTAGTCGACATGCTCGCTCCACAAACCCATGCTTCCAATAAGGGGAGATCTTTGATTAGAAAACATGCATCTTTCTTGGAGTTTGGGAAAAGGTATTCATGTGAAGCGTGATTATTTCATTAACAAAAACGTGAATACATAGAGTAATGTAACCTCAATGATAAAACATGGATGAAAGACATAAATGACCCCATACAAACGTTCCTCAAGTTGGAACAACTATATGAGGCATGTCAAACTTGTTACATATAAGGGTAGTGTATGATTCTTGTAGCTGTGTGTGTGTATATATATATATATATTGACAAGATGCGCCTTGAATTCCTGAGGCCCACGCTTCATGCATGCGCCTCGCACCTCATGCCTAGGCCCTGGGACCCATTTGCGTCTAACGCTTTGAGCCTTTAACAACTTTGATATAGACGCATAATCATTTACAGATCCAATAAATTGTACAAACTTACAGACCAGTTTTCATGTGTTGTTTCACATATGAAACAACATGTGTGAAAATGCAATGTTTATATAATGTTGTTTCATATGTGAAACGTATGTGATTGTTTTGTGTGGGGGAAAACCAATCTTGAAAGAAGGGGACTCACATATGAAACAATACTATATAAACATTGCATTACATTTTCACACATGAAAACTAATTTGTAAGTTTGTAGTAATTATTGTGTTTGTAAGAGAAGGGAGACTCTCTCCCTTTATTAGAGTAAATTATGGATTTGGTCCATGTGGTTTGGTGGTTTTCACTAACATGGTCTTTGAACTTCATTTATTACATATTAGGACTCGTCGTATGGCGTTCCGTGACAAATTGGTCCGTCCCTCTAAACGGCAATCTAGTTCCTCCGTTAACCTTGAGGGTATTTTCGTTCTTTTTCCTTTTTTGTCTTTACTCGTGGACCAATTTCATGAAAACCACACAAACCGCAGGGACCAAATCCATAATTAAGTCTAAAAAATAAGAAAATAATAAATTTTTTATACTTTGAGTTTATTAAATTAATTAAGTTAGTATAATTTAATATTATTAATTATTATATTTTAAGTTTAGTTTTAATATACAATAAATTTTCTTTCAAAAAATATATAGCCATTAGTGATGTTCAATCGTTTAGGGAACCATCTCTATCAACCCATTAGATTAAAATTGATACAATGGGTGTGATTAAATGGACGTTTATAACAATATTTTTTAAATTAAAAAAAACCTCACTACCCCTAATTTTTGTTCGGAAAAAAAATGAAATATAAACAAAAACTGAGAGAAATAAATTACACCACATTAATATATATTTTCATCCGTTATTTTGTGATTTCCCGGTGTTTCATTTATTTAGGTTTTTCCCTGAACTCAACTCTCTCTCTCAATGCAAAATAAATGAAAAACCAGAAAACCACGAAAAAAACGGATGAAAAAATATATCAATATGGATGTCAAATTATGAGAAAATTATGATTGTTTTTTTTGGTGTAATTTATTTCGTTCGATGTTTGTTTATATTTTATCTTTTTTCGAATAAAAAATAGGTGGGGATGAGGTTTTTTTAATTAAAAAAATATTGTTGTAAAAGTTCATTTAACAATATCCGTTGAATCAATTAATCTAATGATTGATAGATATCATTTTCTCCTGAACCTCACTATATATGTATATATGTGTGTGCGTGCGCAAATGTGTGTAGACGTACATAATGTATATCTTTTTGAAAGAATATATATTGTATATTAAAATTAAACTGAAAGTATAATAATTAACATATATTAAAATTTAATAATTAATTAATTTAATAAACTCAAAGCATAAAAAAATTAATATTTTTTTATTTTATTTTGTATACTTAATTACAGATTTAGTCCCTGTGGTTTGTGTGGTTTTCACGAAATTGGTCCCTCGAGTAAAGACAAAAAAAAAATGAAAAGGACGAAAATGCCCTCAAGGTTAACGGAGGAATTGGATGGTCGTTAGAGGAAGGATCAATTCGCTACAAAACGACATATGATGAGTCCTAATCTGTAATAAATGAAGTTTAGGGACCATTTTTATAAAAACCACCAAACTACAAGGACCAAATCCATAATTTACTCTTTATATTATTACGTATACCTTTTGGAAAGGTTAAGGTAGTCTTCAGTTTCCTTTAGAATCCACATGGATACCCTTTTCATCTTTGAAATTCAAATGCATCTATCTTCTTTCTTTCTAGTCACTTTTTTTTGGCATGAAAGCAGTATTGAAATAGCATTTACAGCGAGTATTTAGAGTACTTCTCCACATGACTGATTCGCATATCTCGACATGTTACAAACCGTAATTGAGATAATGAAAACTCAAGAAGTTGTCACATGGATCTCAAGAAAATCATGAATTTCTGTATGCTTCTTAGTTGCTGAAGGAAGTACATATAAATCTGTGGGGCAACTATCACCTCAGTGCATAAGTTTTTAATCAATTCATCTTCACTTCGACAATCTTGTAGAAGATCTTTGTTACAATACACGAGGCTAATTCATCAGCCAAAAGCAGTGATGATGTGTGTATGTGACAACCATTCTAGTACAATTTTTTCATTAGTTGATAAGAGAAACTCTTCCTCTGTATTTTGTGGGCAGGTAGAATTTGTTGGGGGCGCCATGTGTTGGAACACACGCATATTCTCTGCTGTTGCTGGTATGGAAGTAGTAGTTTAGCAAGTGTATCCTGTGCACTTTGTTACCATTATGACTCSGGYAATTTTYATTAAGCRAGTGTCTTCTTATGTACTTCAGGTGGAGGTGCWTTCTGTAATGGACAAAAGATTCATGTTAGTCAGACTGACAAGGTGAGGTCTAATTTCCTTCTTAACTTCATTTGTCAAGTAGAGTTCATGGCTTTATATGTAGATTTATAGCATTCCAATGTTGCTGCCATGGCATCAGTAAGTTATTAATATGTGAGCTAATTTGAGTGCTATTATCACTAGTATCTCTCTTGTTTTGTTTATTTTGTTAATGAACCTTCATCACTCATGTATAATTTTATGTTTTTGAGCAAAAAGTTTGTGGTTTATGAATCGTTCTGTAACTAGTGGTGATAATTGCCTTAACTGCTTGTTACAACTTTATAGGTTGAGCGATCTCTATGGTGACTGGGTTTGGCTATGAACATGACGATCCATGGGCTACCAACATGAACTTATTCAAAGAATTTACAGACATCAGTCGGGTAACAACATTAAYTATAACATTTTATTTGAGTACCTTCCTTCTTGTGGTTTATCATAATAAGGGTTGAGTTCTATTCTCTTTCTGTGTGATTTTCTTAGGGTGTGCGAAGACTAGGTGCAGCTGCTGTGGATATGTGCCATGTTGCTCTTGGTATCATAGAAGCATATTGGGAATATCGTCTAAAACCATGGGATATGGCTGCTGGTGTTTTGGTAATGCTACTTATCCTCGAGATATGCTTTAAAAAATCATCCCTATGCAGCGTTATCTAAATATAGTTAAAATTTAACCATCAAATATTCATCTTTCTTGCTGGTGCTCAATGCAACCCCTGGTTTTACAATCATTTACCTTACCCGAAGTATCTGCATTCTAGTGCATGACAGAAGCAGCTTTTATCTGTTAGCAATAGGAAATGTAAACGTTACTGCAGCTGCTATCTTAGGTTTGCTTCTATGACACTAAACTCAACCCCAATTCTTTTAGCCGTTGTGATAATGAGTATTGCGTGTGAGGTAGTCATCTTGAATTTACACAATGGCATCACTCAAACAGCTTATGATATCATATCAGATTGCTAAGTTGCTTCATAGGGCAGTTTATTGCAAGTGGATATTAATATAGTGAAGGCTTGAAGCAGTTATTTCAGTACTTGCAAGTTGCAATTTGAGTGATTTCAATTGTTTCTCTTCTTGATGGAGAGGGAAAAAAAAAAACATTCACGAAGCTATGAGGTATGAAGTGAAAGCTTAATTTAATGACGGATGTGGGTCCATGCTCTTGAAAAATGTTGTGGGGAATGATGAAAAAGGAACATATGGAAAAGGATGATTTGAAGAATTATAGCTATTAGATCTTCACATTAAGTAATAATTCACTATGTTAATGCCGAAATGACATTCTTATTCATATAATTGGTGAACTGACATATTGGTTACATTTTCTTAAAAGTATGAAACTCTTGTTACGTTACATTCTTTAATTTTCTGGTCCTCTAAGTGCCTATGTTCTCTCTCCCTCCCCTTTCCCTCTGTTCTCTATGTTTTTCGTCCTTTGTTTGCGCTTGGTTAGGTCCATCATGGAGAAATCAATTACTTCCCCTCAGTTATTAAGGGTAAAATTGTCATTTAGTTAATCAAGAAGTGTAATAATTACACATTTCTAAAACTTTGTCCCTTCTTTATTATGGACATTGATTTTGGAATGGAGGGAAGTAATTGATTTCTCCATGATGGACCTAACCAAGCACAAATAGAGGAGGAAAATCATAGAGAACAGAGGGGAAGGGGAAGGGTAAGGGGAGGGAGAGAAGAACTTAGGCATGCATTTAGAGGACCAGAAAATTAAAGAAATGCGTCAAGGGAGATCAATTTTTACCGTCTTTAAACTTGCTCTAACAATAGAGCCACTTTTGATTCTGGAATGTCTTGTATATTAAAGTAACCAGATTCTTTCATGTCCATGCAACGATAATTGTGTTTTGTAGACCCTTCTAATAATTTGTTCCTTTCCTATTGTTACATCAAAAGGACAAAAGAAACTGCAAATGTAAACATAGCAAAAACAGAAAAATAAACYATCAAGCCAAACTTTGGTATTTCAATTACTGGTTTATGTCGTCACTYGGTTGTCAGGTAGTATTTTGCAGCAATATTGCTAAGGTATTGAAGCTTTTGCTTTCAACAATTTTAGGTATCACGTGTTGCACTATAGATCAATATGCAACAATGGTTCAAACCTTGCAGTAAACTCTGATCAAGAATATCAAATTATCACTAGGTCATGTAAAATAGAAAAATCCGGGTACTTGTATGCTTGTAGTGTGTCTGATACTTTTAACTGAACAGATAGTTGAAGAAGCTGGTGGGACAGTTTCGCGCATGGATGGTGGAAAATTAACTGTATTTGACCGATCGCTCTTGGTCTCAAATGGCATATTGCATGCTAAGGTATGTTTCTTTAGTTATGTGCCTGAATAACTTGTTTTCTTTTTATGCTTTCRTTTCCTATCAATCATCATCATCTTGCTTGCAACAATAATGAACAATTATCCCACCGCATTTGACCATCAARTGCATAGCTTGAATGTTCAAATCGTTTTCCCCCTTTGATGGTTTGAAAAATAAAAAGTTATTTTGCGTAACCCCACAAAATTCCTACCGAGCTAACCTTGTGGGGTTAGCTCAACTGGCAATAAGGCTTGGGCCTTTGGGGATCTTCCTTAGAGGTCACCGGTTTGAGTCCTGCAAGGCCRCCGGGGATTTTCCTGGTTGTTTCTCCAGGGCCCCTGGGATTAATCGAGGTGCGTGCAAGCTGGCCTGGATACCCATGGTTATTAAAAAAAAGAGGTAAGATAGATGTTGTCAATCTGAGTGCTAATCTTGTTGCTTCTCAAATGCAGCTTCTAGAGAAAATTGGTATTGCAACAGAGGAACTAAAAGGCAAGGGAATCGATTTCTCTTTATGGTACAAGCCAGATGATTATAACACAGAATTATAATTGACACAACTTATTGCTGTTGTTATTAGCTCATTTTATTTTGTTCTCTTTCTAGACTACAAAATTAAGGTTTATCGCACGATAACCGTTACTTAAACTTTATGTGAATTGTATTTTGTACCTCTTTTGTTCTCCTATGTAGACTATATATGTCAATAAGCATACATCATAATAATTTTCTTTTTGTCTGCAAGTTGGTATGCATACATACATCTTATCATCTTACCAGCAGTTGATTATCATGTTAATATTGTTTGTCCATGTCTTGGTGCCACCTAGGACTGGGAGAGGTAAGCATGTATGGTGCGGATAGAAGGTTATTTAGGAGAATAACTATTGGGTCACCTATTGATTTGGTGATGACTCACTGATCTGTTCCTCTACCTTAGCAACACTTAGTAGTTATTGGTTCTTTATAAGTTGGTGTCTTG